GCTTGGTCCAGGTCAATCTTGGAAAAGACAGTCGCGTCTGAGATTTTTGCGAAGGCGGCCTCCGCGGTGGGAAGCGGATAGCGGTCTGGACGCAGTACCAGGTTGACGGTGGATTTGTAGTCACCGCAGAGTCGTATTCGCCGGTCGGCGCGGTGGACTATCACGACAGGCGTAGCGAAGCCGATCGGCGCGTATGGAGTTGGCGAGATGGCACCGTTTCTGTGGAGCGTGTGGATAACATCGATGACGGAGTCCTCGATGGCGTATGGTATGGCACGGGCAGGCAAGTACTTCGGCGGGGCAGTCTTGTCCCAGTCGAGGCGGATTGGTGGACCTTTGAAGCATCCAAGTTCATCTTGGTCTCTGTTGAGTGCTGGGTGGATCTGGATATCGGCTGGCACGAGAGGTGAGAGCTTGTGTAGGCCAGCGACGGATATGTTCAGTGCTGCGAACCAATTTCGTCCCATCAGAGAGTGGACAGATGCTGGACCCTCGACGACGATCAGCGGCAGGACGGCGTTGATGTCCTTGAAGCGAACGCGCACGGGTCGCGCGCCGATGGCAGCTGTTGTGGGGGCGTCTAGGTAGGGCTTGACCAGGATGTCCACTTGTTGGAGTTCTGGGCGGTATCCGTTTGCATAGGGGAAACGGGGGGGCCAGAGTGCGTCGTAGGTGCCGGACGTCATGACTGTGTATACGGCACCGTTGTCGATCTCCATGGTTGTAGCTTTGTCATCGAGGTTCACGGCGGCCATGTTGGCTGCCGAGGGGCGGAGCGACGATGGGTGGCACGCGCCAGCGAACTGCTCCAGAGGGAAGGAGGCTTGGTGCGGCGGTGCGTGGTGCAGGTGGATGTCCTCGACGTGGAAGAGTGACGCAGCGTGTGGTGGAATTGTGTCCGAAAAATCAGTATGGGCCATCTGGGGCTTGGTTGAGGGTTCCGGTTGCGGCCCTACTGCAGGAACCCTTGATGAAAATCCGATGGCGGATTTTGGATGGAAGATGGCTGCATGGGGGCGCTCACCTGTGCCTGCATGTGATTGTACAAGTTGGAGCCATACGTAGGTGGGGCGGCGGCATAGTATTGCAGCGGGTATTGTGTAGTCATCATCTGAGCCATTTGAGCGGATGGAGGCTGGTATGCGGGCGTTGAACCAGCGGAGGAAACAGCTGATGGTATTTGTTGCAGTGTTGGTTGGTGCTGCAGCGGTGTCTGCTGGGGTTGCTGCTGTTGGAAATTGGCCGGGGCTGACATCTGATGGGCGGAATGGGCGTTGCTGGCTGATGATCTACTTGGTTTTGTTGCTTGCTGCGTTGCTGTTGCTTGTAGGGTGTGGAAGATTTGCGACCTCTGCAGGCAGCGTCGTTGTGTCCCTCAGAATTGCACTTTTTGCAGTACAGGGTTGATATATCGATGGTGCATTTGGAGGAGTGATGAGGTTCATTGCAGCGGTAGCATCCTCTGCCTTGTGCCCGTTGCTGTTGATATTGTTGTTGCCCGGACTGTCGTTGTTGGTTTCGCTGATGAGGTGGGTGCTGGTGTTGCGGGTGACATGCAGGGTCAGTGTGTATCGTGACGGCGTGAGCTGGGGCTTGGGGTAAATATTCAGTGCGAGTCATGGCAATAATATTATTGGCAGTGTATTCAGCCGTAGTTGCTCGCTCGATGGCTGTCTGGAAGACAAGCTTGTCTTCTGAATGGAGCAGAGACTGTTGTACTTGAGTGTTTGCTAGGCCGTAAATGAATTGCCAGAATAAAAGTTTCTCACCGATTGTTGTTGTCGTGTCCAATGCTGGGGCTTTGAATTCGCACATGGCGGCAGCAGCGCGAAGTCTTGCAACATATTGAAGGATACTTTCACCTGTGAGCTGCTTAGTGTTGATAAATTTGGCGTACGCAGCAGCGGCACTGATTTTAGGCGAGAAATAACTTTTTAATGCTACCTTGATTTGTTCGAAAGATGCCTCTTTTACCGTCTTGTCTTTGCTCTTAAGCAGGTCCGCTACGAGGTCGAAAAAACGTGCGTCTCCATTGTTATGTAGTAAGATCTTCTTTTTAATTGCATCGTCGTCTGTGTCGCCGAATGACGTTTCTAGGGACTCGATCCATCGATCCCATTGCACTGGTTTGTCTATATCAAATGTCGGATACTTTTTGTCGTAAACGATTTGCGGCTTGTTGTTTGCAATGGCAGTAGCTAGCCCGTTTACAAGCTGTTGTAGGAAGTCTGCTGTGAAATCGCCCATTTTGTCTATTGTCACTCACACACTTTTACGAATCACCAATGTTTTTCTTTTAAATCCTCGTCGCCAATGTTATGTACGTGGTTTGTTGTTGTTTAGGTTGCAAATTAGGCTGTAGTATTTCGGTTTAAACTACCATTTAATGTATAAAAGACGTTATTTTACAGATAGATGATGTTTACAAGCGTTCTGGTTCTGTCAAGCGTTTACTTCTTACCTCTCTCGTTAGGGGGTGCGGCGTTGCCACATTGGCATTATATTAACAGATATGACAGAAACAGAAAAACGAATTAAAGAAGACTACTATTTTCCAAACCAAAGAAATACAATCCAAAATTATATAAATAACTGCGAAATCTGTCAACTAACGAAGTATGATAGAAACCCATTGAACCTGAAATTTAATATAACACCTACGGCTACAAGGCCATCTCAAATACTACACATGGATAGTATTTCCCTTGAAAAATGTAAATTTCTAACAAAGCCAAGCATATAAACTTAACTCAGCTTCCAGTATAGAAGTTATAAATAATCTGATTAAATATTTTACACACCACGCAATTCCGGAACAAATTATCTCGGACAATGGTAGTGAGTTTAACAACGGCATGTTAAAAGAACTTATGCAACTTCATAAAATCAAAATTCATTTTATAAGTTCTCAACATCCCGAATCAAATTCCCCAATTGAGCGTTTCCACTCTACATTAATAGAACATATCAGATTACTAAACACAGTGGCGGCTCGTCGTATAAAGCAACTGAAGCCGGGCCTCACATGTCAAAATTATAATATAATTTAAAATGTTATATATTTAAATATAAAACGTTTTTAAACTAATTTACAGTCATTAAAAGTATCAAAACATCGAATAACCATCAAAGTTTAAAATATTTCCTTTAAATTTAGCGCGCACCCCTTCCAACTTTAATTCTAAACGCTTAAATCATTACCCGACCGCATAATAGGGTCCCGAAATTTGCGCTTCATATACGTTACACATTGCCGATACAACATTATGCTCCCCACCGCTGCACGGTGCCGCCGGCACCCCCGCAAGGCGGGGATAATACGCGAATTTTTGTAGACATTAAGGCCCACAGAGTTGGGCTTGTACCACAGTATATGGAAGACAACAGAGTCAGCCCCGAGATCTGTGCGGCTCGCTTATCAGCCGCGGCTGATACTTTCGAAATGGATCCATTTTAACGCTAAGGCAAAGACTAAACAGAAATAAGAAACTATAAACACGCATGGATCTAATTAATAAGCTTTGTTTACTATAACATTCCCCGCCCAGTCTTTTACAACGCGTTGTAAAAGACTGGGCGGGGAATGTTATAGTAAACAAAGCTTATTAATTAGATCCATGCGTGTTTATAGTTTCTTATTTCTGTTTAGTCTTTGCCTTAGCGTTAAAATGGATCCATTTCGAAAGTTGTGATAAAAATGCAAGCGTAAAATACATTATTGTGTTGTGAATTCATGTAAAAATAATTCAAATAATTATAAAAGATCATTTTTATTTTAATATACTATTATATTAACACACAAATACCACAGTAAAAATCACAAAAAATATAAATAAAAATATTCATATTTTTTATAGTTCACTGTTGAATCGTTGAGTTTCATATACCTACTGTGCTTGTAAATTATTATTTTGTTTTTGTGAGGTTGTGCCTTTATTTATCTAAAAATAATTATTGTAAGATAGGTAAAAATGAGCAGTACCTCCTGGGTAATGTGGAAACCTGCTGAAGGAATAAATAAAAATCCCACCTCGTCCCGCACTTTTTGTATTATTCTAGCTAAAGTTTGAAAATTCTTCTCGTGAAAGAACATATTTTTAAATAATATATTTTTATTATTTAGATTCTGAAGTGCTCCAAAAACGCGAGACTTTGAAAATTTCAAAAAAAATTGCCTGCGGCGCCATATCCCAGATAGCACACAACGTCCTGAGGACGTCCGTTTTAAGTACGTCGTAGACCGACACGACCGGATGACCTATGGACGTCCAACTTTGGCCAAGTTATTTTTAAATTAGTGCCTCCCCAGTATACTGATATATCTATTAAACATAGATGCATGTTGAGGGTTAGTAATCTGATATAATTAGGATTCATGAGCTTCAAAATTTTTGTTTTCCGTTAAGCTGTCCATAGGTAATCCTTGGTACGTCCGTTAGTGGCGGTTCTTTCTGTAAAGTTTTCCATTTGCAAGGTTATTAGCTTTCAAAAATTAAATTTGATTTTTCTGTTGCATAAGTATGTTATAAGAATACTTGTAAGTGAAAAACTTTACAGAAAACACCGCCACTGACAAACGTACCAAGGATTACCTATGGACAGCCTGACGGAAAACAAAAATTATATACCTAGTGCACCACACTAGTGCGGTGCAATACAGTATTTCAATAAAAATAAAAAATAGGGCCGTTATGGCCGGCCCAAAAGGATTTTGTATTTGTTATGTTCAATTTAAATTTAATTTAAATTTAATTAAGAACAACTTTGACATTTAAAGTATAATGAGCCACAGTGTTGCCGGATTAATTTCATGAAAGTTCCTGACCAAAAATTAAAAAATACCCGATTTTACCCGCAAGAGTAAAATTTCTAGTGCATTTGCCCAATAGGGCAAAATGTATTTTGAAAAATGAATTAAATTTTGAATTAGTCAACAAGAATATTAACAGGATCAAATAAAAAAAATATGTTTATTTAGTAAATATGCAACATTATTTACTGAAAATTGTATTAGTTAGTATTTTAAATTATATTGAAATTAAAATAAAATGCAAAATACCGATATTTTATCCGCATGACGAAAATACCCGATTTTCGGGTAAAATACCCGCAAACGGCAACATAGCAGTGCAACCACATGATGCGCCACAGGAAATATTTTTGACCAATCAAAACGTGTCGCCATTTCGCCATTTCTGTTTCTCTACAAAGAACTTTATGTTCTGTGCAAAGAACAGTTTTAGTTACTAGTACCTTCCTACCTGCAAATTTTTGATAATAAAGTGAATCAGTTTTGTGCAATAAATTGTTTAAGTGTTATAGACAAGACGGAAAGTTATTCGTTTATCGGTAAGTTTTATGAACTAATGGGCGGCTTTTGGTATTTGTATTCTGTGGCTTGGAATAGAAAGGGCGGGTGTCACAAATATGCCAATTGCAGATATTCGCTATTGTCTCGCATTGTAATATACTATTACCTTACAGCTAATGAACAATGTGGGTCATTGTGAAATTTCCTAAAGAAAATTGTGTTGAGGCCATTCCAAATAATTGGTTAATAGGCGACTCTTCATGTTACTGGCCTCCGTATAGTGGGAATAGACTCAAGAAAGCCGTATTAATATGTGAAGAACCTGGTACCAATTGGGAAATTATAGATGTTGTGGTTCTTTCTAAAACTGCCATAGGTATTTTATTAAGTAAGCATTTTTGTTTTATCAATCCCCACCATCAAAATCTTTTCTAGATGCTTATAATAAAGCTGTCGAAAAGGCGGTTATTGCACAATCTACATCCGATATCGAGGAGCCGAAAATAATAGCTCCCAAACGAAAAATCTTCAGGAACAAACGTTACGATGATGACAATTCGACATCATCAGTTGTGGAATCTAACAAGGAAAGCGATTTGGACGATTGTCCACAATATAAGACGGGTAACTCAATCGAATAAAATTAAATCATCATAATTTAGATTAAAATTACAGATAAAAGAAGCAGTCGGCGACCTGAATATCAGCCGAAACGCAATGCTGGAGAACTCAGCAAGCCTTTTATAGAAAAAATATCCAATAAGCCCGGGGTTGTTAGGAAGGAAACCTTAACCAGTGGAATAAAAAGTGTGTATATGAAAAATCAGGAAACTTTTCCGTTTAAGTACAATTATTATTACATTTCTAGATTCGACTTCAAAAGAAAAACAGGTCACAAGAGAGAGTTCAGCTAGCAGCGAAGGTGAGAAACATTTGATGCCCGATACATATCGGGTTTTCGTTTTTAGTAGGGAGTTGTATTATATAGTTATATTATATTAATCTTGCAGATTCGACACGAAGCTACTTTGGAAGAAATCGGGTTTGTAGTGAAGGTAAGAATGTTTGAATCTCATTGAATCGCACATTAAAAAATATATCAACTTGCCAGGTTCAACTCCAAGAAGCTCCCAGTCGAAAGCGAGCGCAGATCACAATGTGAGCCCTTTTGTGCAGAGAGGTTTAGATAATTCCCAAAGCTCCAGAGACTTCTCTCTAGGTAAATATAGTTAAATTCTTAGTTTTACTTTTAGTTATGATTATGTATTTTTAGATTCAACATTAAAGGAACCAAATTCTAAAGGCCGTTGTGATTATTGTGGTAAGAACCTTACACTAAAGGTAACCCTAATATTTCCCAAACACGTCATTCTAGGTATAATGTCAAAGAGAGTTATTTTTCTTCTAAACAAGTTGGATCTTAAATTGGACGAGCTTAGTACTGATGTAAACATTATAAAACGTAATATGCCTCGAAAGGAAACCCAGCCAGCAGTATCTCTTCCAGAAATTTATTCCGAATTTCCTCTTCACACTGAAGACCAATTAAAAAATTTCGATAAATTTCTGGAATCAGACGATAATTTTTCCAACTTTGTAAGTTTAAGAGTAAATATTGGATTGGATACATTTCTAAACTGATATTTGTTTTAGGTGAACTACTTATCGTCTGTAGGGGGTGATTCATCATATGAGAGCGTAAAAAGGTGTCTCAACAGGATATTGTCCAATGAAGTCGCCATGAAATTCAATTGGGAAGGGTTAAGATCTAAAAGGAATTTCCAGGTTTTACGGTTGTGTAAGGCTCTAAATGGTAAGTAAACATTTAGTTTATTTGCATACATTCTAAGCTTAGGCTAAAATTTCAGATGCTGTAAAGAAAAATCTAAATGTAACAGATAAGCAGATAGAAAAAGACATAAAGAGCTGGCTTAAGCATGCCAAAGAACGGTATGAAGGGACAATGAAAAAACTTGATAAGGAAAGAGAACATGAAGGAAACGTATAATATGTACCTAAGAAATTATTTTAGTTTTTTTAATAATAAATTCATTTAAATTTCATAATAAAGTTTAACTTTATACAGGGTGTCTCCGAATTTCATTGAAAAATATTAAGGGGTGATTCCACAGCGCATGTGAAAAAAGTTTTTAAGAACATCAGGTCAAAAATGCTTTATAAGGGCCCCTTTGAAGATGGCACTCAACATTTACATTTCATTTTTATCTCGGGTGTACATTAATTTACAACAATTTATTTTGGCACACACACTACAGTTATCAAATGCAACTTTTCTATTGTAGACCCAATTATCAGGGAGTGGCCAAACAGGGGTGATGGGATACCACCCCCCATTTTTTTAATGACGTTATTGGGTATATTCGTTCCATTTTATGAGTTTTTTTAATTTTACACAAAAAATTTGCTCTTTTTTTTAAAAAATCGCTTTAAAATTTTTAACGTAAAAACAAAAATTTCAAAAGCGATTTTTTTTGTTTGTATTTAGACCTTTTAAATGGGGGGCGGTGCCCCATGATCCCCCTGATAATGTCAATATTGGGTCTACAACAGAAAAGTTGCCAAAATTTATTATTTATTTTAAGTTAAAGAACACCCTGGATAAAAAATAAAATGTAAATGTTGAGTGCCATCTTCAAAGGGGCGTAGCTCCTTTATAAATTTAGCATTTTTGACTTTCTTAAGAACATATTTTGCGCTGTAGAATCACCCCTTAAATTTTTTGGATGGAATTCGGAGACACCCTGTATTTCACATCCCGAATTTGCCCAAATCACACCCCCAAAAAATAAAAATCAAACGTCCTTGGGCTATCCTAGGGATATAGTTACAAAGCCTAAATAGACTAGACCAGTCTATTCCATGGATGTCCAAAAGTGTCCCCTTTGGAAGTCTATCGACGTCCTAAGTACATACTTCACTGGATTTAGGATGTCCTGAGGACGTCCTGCTTGTCCGGAGTGGCTATCCTACGGTTGTCCTAAGGTACACTCTGTGCTGTCTGGGATAGCGGTTCATGGGCCTCAATAGAAGAGGGCTTATCAACGGTTTTGGAACGGTAATTAAGGGAATAACCGGTAACTTAGATAATAACGATGGCGAAAAATTTTCAAAAATATTATAATATGCTATATAATACCCAGGCAACACAGGGTCGTAGAAATCACGTAGAATCGTCGACGAATTGGGTCGAATTTGGTCGAAGTTACATTTCAACCATTTTTCGACGTCTCAAAATTCACCAAAACACGACCAATTATTAACTTAGGTCGATGATATCCAATAAATGACGTCATTATCACGTGAACAGATGACGAAAATTTTAAGAAAATATGAAAATATAGTGATAATTAATAAGAAACAGTTGGCCCGTTTTAATGGGCCGACAAAAAGTTTTGGAATATTTTTAAAAACAAAAATTATTATTTTTATTTAATTTACGTTATTTCGACGGAGAATCAACGTGCAATATTTTATTAAAATAATTTTAAACATTATTTGGTTTTAAACTAATTAAGAGAGATTAATAATTATTGGATCAATGGATTTTTTAAAACAAATTCGCGATTTTTAAATCCTTTATCATTTCATCACAAAATAAGAAATTAACATGTTACTGCAGTTGACAATCACAATTTTAATTTTAGTAAAATTATTTATCTACAGTGTTGCCAGATGTTTTATAATTTTCTTTTTTAAAATAGTAAAATTTAAATAATAATCGATAATTGTAACATAATTTAATCCGCCGCGTAGTTTTGCTTGTTTTTATACAATTTTTGTTTTGATAATTTTATATAATTTTCTGTAAATTTGATCATTTTGTCAACCCTCTTCGATAATATTAATTTTTACACCTGGCAACCCTGTTTCTCTTTGACACTACTTACAAAGCGAGGGAACGTTTATTCCTAAAAAAAACAATATGGCTGATTCAAGCGTCCAACTTTTATAATCTGTGGCATTTATACATAGAACCACGGTCTTATATACGTATATAAGACCGTGCATAGAACAAACCATAGAATGGAACAAACCTTTTATACTGATAATACTTTGGCTGTGTCAGGTAGGTCCATTTTTGTTTGTTTATTAATGTTTTAATTACTCAGTATATTCCGTAACGAAGTCATAACACCTAAATGAAGTACCTACATAAGCTCCTAAAATATTGACCTGTCATCTGTCTTAAAATTTAATGTGTTTGATTTTATAATAAATGTTTTGAGCAACTTAAAACATGTTTTATTAATTATTAAACCAAAAGCCCTTTATGCACTAGTAAAAATAATTATTTATTCTTATATCCGATATTTTAATGCCAATGTGTTTCTGCAAAGATTAACTAACAATTTTTTTTTAATATTCTACTTTTTTACATACATTTATTTTGATTATTAATTATTTACTAAATATATATCTACTATAGTAGTATATATATACTATATATAGTAGGGTTTACCTATTTATTTCTTAAAATTTAAAAGTACAACTAAAATTTTTTTGTTTTTTAAATTTTGACAAAATCACATTTCGCATTGAAATATCTGATATCAGTATCGGTAATTATTTTTATCAGTGTATGACCTAATCATATATTATTCAAGAAATATTACGTGATTATTTACGTCAAATTACGTAAATAATTACGTAATATTACGTGATTTTACACGTGAAATCGCTGTGACATATTGTCGTCAATTTTACGACGATAAGACGTGTCTAAGTTGGTGACTTCGACGTCACCGTAGACGTAAATTAAACGTGATATTCACGTCACTGTGTTGCCTGGGTATTATAATATGCTATATGCTATAGCAGACATACAGCATGATAGCTCAAATATCAAATCGCAAGTAAAACTACAGTATTCAATTAATCATAAAATAATAAAAAAATTTAATGACACTCTTCAAGATGTCCAACACAATCAAAATACTTTAAAAGATAAAATTATACAATTAAATAAATTTGTAAATGAACAAATACAAAATCAAATTTTTATCTTGTTTGCACAAGATTTGTATAATCAAATTTTACTAGTATATACCACTATACTAAATATTTTAAAAGACGTGGAAACTTCATTAACATTTTGCAAATTAAAAGTATTACCCGCTAGTATTTTAACAGGTAGAGCGGAAATACAAAAAATTGAAAACAATTATAAAAAGCAACTTCCGATAAAAGTAAAATTTGAAAATATTTTGGAGTTCGAGGATATTGTAGAAGTTAATTGTAGAACAGAGAATTACATTTTTCCTTTCCCTTCCCATTGATTACGAAACTGATTTTGAACTTTTTCATATTATTCCTATTCCAACTTTGTTTGAAAATAAATTTGTCACTATTATCCCAAAAGCTAAATACGTACTTAAATCAAAAGAAAACAACAATCTTATTCCATTGAATGACGTATGTAAGAAAGGTATAAACAAAACAAAACATCACTTGTGAAGAAAATATTGTCCTTCGGGAAAGCATTAACTCCTGCTCCTATATCAAACTGGAAATAACAGAAAATCATTTGGAAACCATCCCAGAAATAAACCAATACCTGGCAGTTTTTTCCTTCAATGAAAAAATAAGTTTAAGATGTCAAAAAGAAAACAAAAGTCAAATCATTAACTTAATTGTAAAATCATCTTCAGAGGTAAATAACTATTATTTGATGAAACCTCTTTTGGCAGTCCCACTTTACTTAATAACATCAACCTCGCAATAGAAGATATCAGATCCAAAATCTCCAAGTTAAATTGAAAACGCTAAAACTAAAATAAATCCCAGAAAATGTTTTAACAACAACTGATCAACACCAGCATTCAACACCCAATATTATCACACCCAGCATCATGACAATAATCCTGTATGTTACGATATATATATCGCTATCGCAGCTTTTAAAAAAAGAAAAAAGAAAGAGCGATAGTAACTGCTGCTGATGTTTCGGACTTAAAGTTTCACTTATATGGTTTTCAATATTTTCCACTTTTACTCCAGGTTTACATTTACCTTTTTACCGCGGCCACAATACTTGACAAACATTTGAAACATTTTCTCACCACACGCTTTTTTTCTTTTTTAATGGGTTTATTTTTAGCACTTTTTATAAAATTATACCCAATTATTTCCAATTAGAAAAATCATTCAAATTTAACGTTTCTATAAATTTCTTGTTTAGCTGCTTTATATAATAAAATTTTACAACCTTTGCATACAAATTTTGGTAATCGTTCATCTTCTACATCATATAGTATTTGACATATACTACTATGCTTTGAACTTTTTTCAGAATCTTTCCACATATTTTAGACATTTAAATGAATTTGTTTTTTTTTGTCTTAAAAAAAGAAAAATTTTTCCACATATTTTAGACATTTAAATGAATTTGTTTTTTTGTCTTAAAAAAAAAAATTTTTCTTTTTTTAAGACAAAAAAAACAAATTCTCTCGCGATTATCCGAGTGAGTTCATGGTTTTTTATTAGCTTCATTGCACTATATACTATAATCAATGCAAATATAATTATTTATATCTAATTTATAAATAAATCTGCGACAAATTAAAAAAAACCGGTAAAATATACATTTTGCAAATTAAAAGTATTACCCGCTAGTATTTTAACAGGTAGAGCGGAAATACAAAAAATTGAAAACAATTATAAAAAGCAACTTCCGATAAAAGTAAAATTTGAAAATATTTTGGAGTTCGAGGATATTGTAGAAGTTAATTGTAGAACAGAGAATTACATTTTTCCTTTCCCTTCCCATTGATTACGAAACTGATTTTGAACTTTTTCATATTATTCCTATTCCAACTTTGTTTGAAAATAAATTTGTCACTATTATCCTAAAAGCTAAATACGTACTTAAATCAAAAGAAAACAACAATCTTATTCCATTGAATGACGTATGTAAGAAAGGTATAAACAAAACAAAACATCACTTGTGAAGAAAATATTGTCCTTCGGGAAAGCATTAACTCCTGCTCCTATATCAAACTGGAAATAACAGAAAATCATTTGGAAACCATCCCAGAAATAAACCAATACCTGGCAGTTTTTTCCTTCAATGAAAAAATAAGTTTAAGATGTCAAAAAGAAAACAAAAGTCAAATCATTAACTTAATTGTAAAATCATCTTCAGAGGTAAATAACTATTATTTGATGAAACCTCTTTTGGCAGTCCCACTTTACTTAATAACATCAACCTCGCAATAGAAGAAAAACAGATCCAAAATCTCCAAGTTAAATTGAAAACGCTAAAACTAAAATAAATCCCAGAAAATGTTTTAACAACAACTGATCAACACCAGCATTCAACACCCAATATTATCACACCCAGCATCATGACAATAATCCTGTATGTTACGATATATATATCGCTATCGCAGCTTTTAAAAAAAGAAAAAAGAAAGAGCGATAGTAACTGCTGCTGATGTTTCGGACTTAAAGTTTCACTTATATGGTTTTCAATATTTTCCACTTTTACTCCAGGTTTACATTTACCTTTTTACCGCGGCCACAATACTTGACAAACATTTGAAACATTTTCTCACCACACGCTTTTTTTCTTTTTTAATGGGTTTATTTTTAGCACTTTTTATAAAATTATACCCAATTATTTCCAATTAGAAAAATCATTCAAATTTAACGTTTCTATAAATTTCTTGTTTAGCTGCTTTATATAATAAAATTTTACAACCTTTGCATACAAATTTTGGTAATCGTTCATCTTCTACATCATATAGTATATGACATATACTACTATGCTTTGAACTTTTTTCAGAATCTTTCCACATATTTTAGACATTTAAATGAATTTGTTTTTTTTTGTCTTAAAAAAAGAAAAATTTTTCCACATATTTTAGACATTTAAATGAATTTGTTTTTTTGTCTTAAAAAAAAAAATTTTTCTTTTTTTAAGACAAAAAAAACAAATTCTCTCGCGATTATCCGAGTGAGTTCATGGTTTTTTATTAGCTTCATTGCACTATATACTATAATCAATGCAAATATAATTATTTATATCTAATTTATAAATAAATCTGCGACAAATTAAAAAAAAACCGGTAAAATATCGCAACGGTATTTTCAATCACGATTTCGACATGTGACATATGTCAATAGTTCACTAGTCTAATGAATTGCACATTTTATGTAACAATATACTATAATCAATGCAAATATAATTATTTATATCTAATTTATAAATAAATCTGCGACAAATTGAAAAAAAACCGGTAAAATATCGCAACGGTATTTTCAATCACGATTTCGACATGTGACATATCTCAATAGTTCACTAGTCTAATGAATTGCACATTTTATGTAACAAAGACATTAAAAGCTGTTAGTCTAATGAATTGCACATTTTATGTAACAATATACTATAATCAATGCAAATATAATTATTTATATCTAATTTATAAATAAATCTGCGACAAATTGAAAAAAAAACCGGTAAAATATCGCAACGGTATTTTCAATCACGATTTCGACATGTGACATATGTCAATAGTTCACTAGTCTAATGAATTGCACATTTTATGTAACAATATACTATAATCAATGCAAATATAATTATTTATATCTAATTTATAAATAAATCTGCGACAAATTGAAAAAAAAACCGGTAAAATATCGCAACGGTATTTTCAATCACGATTTCGACATGTGACATATGTCAATAGTTCACTAGTCTAATGAATTGCACATTTTATGTAACAAAGACATTAAAAGCTGTTAGTCATTATTTGGAGTTCACTAATTAAAAATCTCAAAAAATTGATTAAAAATCATTAATGTTTTTATAAAAATTGATTTTTCTAAAAAAAAGCCAAGCGAATTGAGTTAATCCTGAAAAAAAATTGTCTTGTAAGTGATCTTTTATCTAAATATGAAAAAAAATCGGATACGTCTGAACCTTCCAATTAAAAGTTATTCAGGGACACCGTGTAATACATGTTTATAAATATATTTTATTTTTAATTTTAAAATAGGATTATGTTATAAAATAATAGGGCAAACAAAAATACAATTTAGGTAGAATATTAGTCAAGGAAACAATAGAGGTAAAAGAGAAATTACAAGTTTTTCGGAATTTGTCTAAAAATCTGATGTCCAGATGGTACAAAAAACGATGCGTTTTGAACTTGGTACTGTACAGATCGTTTTCTTTGGTAAAATTGTATAATTAAATTATTGTTTTAAATTCATTGTTAAAAGTGTTATTAGTGTATTCTACAAGGTTACTTCTAAATATTTAATCTATCTAAATGTGTAGTGAAATTAACTAAACGTAATATTGTGCATTTTTAAATTGTTAATATTATTATTATCTGATTATTGCTATTATGAGTATATTTATCCTTCACTATTACGTTTAGCTGTATTTTACGTTATTTTTAACCCTCTTAGATTTTACCACACCTATTTTCGCTTTGACTGTTATCACTAAAGATGGGATATTTATGTACTAAAAACTGAAAAATACGTAACTAAAAAGGTACTAAAAAAAGCATTTTAGGTTAAAAAAACAGCATTTTAGGTAAAAAAAACATTAATAGTTCAAGTTTCGTTTATAATTTTGTTTAGCCGCATACCCAAACACAGAACATCCCAGCAAACAGAGTCACGTCCCCTCACGTAATATTCACGTTAGAATTTGGTTGATTTTCGACGAGTTTTTGCGAAGCGGAAAATTCACGTAAATATAACGTAATTTTTCGACGAGTTATTGGGAAACCAAAAATTTACGTGATTAAAACGTAAAAAATTACGTTTTAATTACGTTCATCTTTGGTTTCCTAACAACACGTCGAAAACGTACGTTATATTACGTGAATTTTTCGTGACCCTAGTAGGTATAGCTAAAAACCATCCCAGGCAACACAGTGACGTGAATATCACGTTTAATTTACGTCTACGGTGACGTCGAAGTCACCAACTTAGACACGTCTTATCGTCGTAAAATTGACGACAATATGTCACAGCGATTTCACGTGTATAATCACGTAATATTTCTTGAATAATATATGATTAGGTCATACACATAAAAATAATTACCGATACTGATATCAGATATTTCAATGCGAAATGTGATTTTATCAAAAAAAACAAAACATTTTTAGTTGTACTTTTAAATTTTAAGAAATAAATAGGTAAACCCTACTATATATAGTATATATATACTACTATAGTATTTAGTAAATAATTAATAATCAAAATAAATGTATGTAAAAAAGTAGAATATCAAAAAAAAATTTGTTAGTTAATCTTTGCAGAAACACATACCTACATACATGTATGTCTGGAATATATCTGGCATTAAAATATCGGATATAAGAATAAATAATTATTTTTACCAGTGCATAAAGGGCTTTTGGTTTAATAATTAATAAAACATGTTTTAAGTTGCTCAAAACATTTATTATAAAATCAAACACATTAAATTTTAAGACAGATGACAGGTCAATATTTTAGGAGCTTATGTAGGTACTTCCTTTAGGTGTTATGACTTCGTTACGGAATATACTGAGTAATTAAAACATTAATAAACAAACAAAAATTGACCTACCTGACACAGCCAAAGTATTATCAGTTTGTTCTATGTATAAATGCTACAGATTATAAAAGTTGGACGCTTGAATCAACCATATTGTTTTTTAGGAATAAACTTTCCCTCGCTTTGTAGGTAGTGCCAACTTACCCAAGGCCAAAGAGAAACAGGGTTGCCAGGTGTAAAAATTAATATTATCGAAGAGGGTTGACAAAATGATCAAATTTACAGAAAATTATATAAAATTATTAAAACAAAAATTGCATAAAAACAAGCAAAACTACGCGGCGGATTAAATTATGTTACAATTATCGATTATTATTTAAATTTTACTATTTTAAAAAAGAAAATTATAAAACATCTGGCAACACTGTAGATAAATAATTTTACTAAAATTAAAATTGTGATTGTCAACTGCAGTAACATGTTAATTTCTTATTTTGTGATAAAATGATAAAGGATTTAAAAATCGCGAATTTGTTTTAAAAAATCTATTGATCAATAATTATTAATTTATCTTAATTAGTTTAAAACCAAATAATGTTTAAAATTATTTTAATAAAATATTGCACGTTGATTCTCCGTTGAAATAACGTAAATTAAATAAAAATAATAATTTTTGTTTTTAAAAATATTCCAAAACTTTTTGTCGGCCCCTTAAAATGGGAAAACTGTTTCTTATTAATTATCACTATATTTTCATATTTTCTTAAAAATTTCGTCATCTGTTCACGTGATAATGACGTCATTTATTGGTTATCATCGACCTAAGTTAATAATTGGTCGTGTTTTGGTGAATTTTGAGACATCGAAAAATGGTTGAAATGTAACTTCGACCAAATTCGACCCAATTCGTCGACGATTCTACGTGATTTCTACGACCCTGTGTTGCCTGGGCATGCGCGTGTGCGCACGCACACTCCCCGCCAGAGTCTCTGCTCCCCGCTGTGAACGGTTTGATTCTCAATATGGCGTACGTGTTGTTTATGTTCTGTTCGTGGTATTCTTCTTAATTAAAAAGCAGTAAAACTGGTTTACCGTTAATATTAATATACCAACATATGCTGTTTTAAAACTAATAAGTGTGAATTTATCTTTAAGTGTAACAGGTATGTAACAGTTAATCTATTTTTGTACGATCGAAAAAAATATTAATTTGCCGGTAATACGCCATTAATGGCGGTTAAAATAATACCGGTAAAAATCATTTTTTTGTCGTAAAATTGTGTAGATACACAATTTATGGCGGTTACTTAAATGTGATTGTAATATTTAAAGAATTCTGTATTTTCTGTAGGGTTTTTAGCCGGTTCTCTTGTAGAATAAAAAGCTTAAGCTTAAGAATTCTATTTAATTGTTTAATGTTGTTATTTAATGGTTTTTATTCTTTTAGTATTTTAAAATGGCCTTCGTTTTAATTGAATTTGACGAAAGCGCTGGAGGCTCATTAGCAGTCATTCATAAATCTTGGCTTACACCAAGAAAAACCGAAGTATACTGGCCCCCCTACAAAAATCAGAATTTGTTAGATAAAGCTGTCAAGAAGAAAGAAGCTGCTGGTAGCAACTGGGAACTATTTAAAGTTGGGCGCATATTTTATGCTTCAGGTATGCTGGAAGTTATATTTTTTTATTTTTATAACAACAATTATTGTTGCTAACACTCCTTACAAAAGGAATTGATTGCTTAGGCTGCAAAAAAAATAATTTAGACTAATCATGTAAAGTTATTTACATGTACCTTATAGGCTATAAATAATCCGTTTGGACCAATCAAAACATTCGATAACTCTCAGTGTCACTGTGCTGTCAGTGTTGATAACTTTACTCGTTACTAAAGTGATTGATTATTGGCTAAACTGTAAATAAAACTTATGGGCCGATTCTGTGCAACCTGTAAGCAAATCTGTAACTTTTCTATAAGCCTTTTAAAATGTAATAGTTCAATATAAAAATATTAAAATTCATATTTTATTATTGTTTAAAGCTTTTTAAATATTTTTATTATAAATAAGTAATATTAAATAATTAAGAAGCTTATAGAAAAGTTACAGAATTGCTTACAGGTTGTGCAGAATTGACCCATTAGACCAATTGGGTAAAGTTATTTATCTCCTAGCCAATTTGGATCCATAAAAAAAATTGATAACTGTCAGTGTCACCCAAAATCAAGCTTTTCATAAAATTATACCTATTAGCATATTATAAATCAGACAGAGAAAGCCCATATTATAGAGGAGCATAAATTTCACTGCCGAGGCAGTAGATTGTGAGCTAGGCGATTATTAACGCCGCCTTGTTTTATATACATACATTATTGTATGACAGCTGTCATCATTATTGTACGCCATACAATAATAATTTGACTTTTGAACTATTACAAAGATGTAGTCTTTATGAGTGGTATAATATGAACATTATTACATGCTTGAAAAAAAAATTATGCTTAGGGTGCTATTTTAAGTTTTTTGTTTGTAGATGATTTTGTTCAAGCCCAGAAAAAACTTAAACTAGCTGAGGAAACCTCGGATTTGCAAACAGAAACTGAGGATACAGGGGATTGTTTGACTAAAAGGAATATTAAAAAACCTGTGAGATTTGAAAGCGATTCTCAAGGAGGCAGCACTAGCTCTTCTGATGAGGATTTGCAAAAGTCTGCTTTTTCCAGACCTCCAGATGTAATTGCTTCCAAACTTTCTAAAGGTAAAAAAATGGTTTTTGCATTAGGCGCGGGTATTTTTTTTTAACATATTAAAAGTTCGTGAAATCTACTTTGGGTTCGGTCAATTGATTGCTAGCTATTTGACTAGTCAATTGTAATTAACCAGTCAAATATGTAACTAGCACTCAATTGTCAACTTGTTACATTTTATTTAGGTTCAATGCTATTGTTTTTTGTGCCCTGCACCATGCGGTTACTCGACGCTGACGAGGCCCAAAAGGCCAAAACAGCTGTCTGTCAATGCCGTTAGGAACACGAAGCAAATGAAATGAACCAATAATTCTAAAAACGCGTGCTAAAAATTGTGGCTCGTTACCCTCCTCCCTTAAGCCCTTCAATTGACCAAAAACAATTAGACCTAGTAAAATAACAATATTTAATAAAATTTAACTTTTAGGTTATTCTTATTGTGAACCATTTAACAAAAATAATGCAAGACAGCCTATCGTTTTGGAGTCATCGCTGAACGAAATTTTCCCAAACTTGCCTTCCTGCAGTGCTCCTTCGGGTCGGAGACTTTCGACAGTTTCTTCCACGCCTCAATTAAATTCAACTCGTGGAGACGAAAATAGAGATCATGGTAAAGTTTGGTTCTATCTTTTGTCTTAATTATTTTATTTAGTCTTTGAAACAGTGTTTCAGGAAAAAATAATTAATCGTTTGTCAATAATTATAGAACAAAATAATGAAATTTTGTCCTTATTAAAAAATAAAGGAAGTTTAAATGTAGGATCAAATCTAGAGCTAGAACCTAGTTTTCCTATCAAACTACCAGTAAAATCAATGGAAGAGTTAGAGCAGTTGGAGCAGTCTTTGTCTGAAAACAAGAATCAGAAAGCATTGGTTAGTGATAAATCAAATTCTGCTTCTGTATCTAATTAGTTTGTTTTTTAGAGTTTATATTTAGCAACCTTGGACAGAACCAGTTTAACCTTATCTTGCAGTTCTGCATTACGATATTGCTTATCCTATGGAGTTGCAAAGAACTTAAGTTATCTGGGAACACGGCTTAACAAAAAGGCTTTTAAAAATTACTACCTTAAACGAGTTATTGTTGGTAAGAAACTGAGTAATTGTGATTAATTACTTAAAACTAAATCTTTTGTTTTAGCGGCTGTAAAAGCAGCGATTCCTTCTTCTGATGAGAGAAATATTGAAGATCAAATCAAAAACTGGTTAAAGCGATCTCCAAAAAACTACTTTTTGGAGGAGGAAAAGTTAAGGAAGCAGACAGAAAATGGCTTACAAGGTTAGCATAGGAAAAAGACAGTTTTACCGTCGCGTTGAAAATCAAAAAAAAAAAAATTGGTGGAAAATTTAAGTGCTGCAGATAAAATCAGTGCGCGGAACGAAACAAACTTTAATGATAATGAACCTGTAATCAGGTATGAAAATCTTAATTTTAATATTGACTTGTTGGAAAACCAAAATATTTTATTATCTAACAATATAAATCCTGTACTGTGCAATATTGTTTCTAACGAAACTAAAGACAATGTTAGTCATAATTATAATGATAAGGAAATAGTAGCTACTAATATTGCCATATCCTTACTAGTAAAGGATAATGTTAATTGTGAGGTAACTTTGACTGAACAACTACGAAATTGGGCAGTTACGTCTGGATCAAGTGTGTCTCACAGTGCTATAACTAAATTGTTACATATATTATCTGTTTACCATCCTGATTTACCAAAAGATTGTCGAACTCTAGTTAAAACTCCGGTTAAAATGAAAACATCTGTTTTAGAAACTGGGACATACTGCCATTTAGGACTTCATAAAGCATTAGAAAATTTTCTCTTAAAAAATCCTAACTTTCCAAATAAAGTGCTTCAAGTAGCTATTAATATAGATGGCCTACCCTTGTATAAAAGTACAAATGGTCAGTTGTGGCCAATATTAGGTCAAGTAAAAAATTATGATAGTAGGCCATTCCCAATTGGAATTTTCTTTGGCACTTCAAAACCCAAACCTTTGGAATCATTTTTAAAAGAATTTATATCTGAATTCGAAGCTATTTTGGCAAACGGTTTTCAAATTAACGATAAAATGTATACTGTGCAAATTTTTGGTTTTATTTGTGATGCCCCAGCAAGATCCTATTTAAAATGTATTAAATCGCATGGGGGCTATTCCTCTTGCGAAAAATGTATAGAAACTGGGGAGTATATTAAGGGTAGAGTTATTTTTACTTCAACAAATGCAACAAAACGGTCAGACGATTCCTTTAAGAGTCAGATTGATGAAGATCATCATTTAGGAACTTCACCTTTAGTACAGCTTCCAATTGGAATGGTGTCTAACTTTCCCATTGATTATATGCACAACGTGTGCTTGGGTGTAGTAAAAAAACTTTTGAATTCTTGGACAGGTGGTCCTCTAACAATAAGGCTTCGAAGCGATAAGGTAAAGGAATTGTCTTCAGTTTTACAACGTTTAAGCAAATTTATTCCAGTGGAAATCAATAGAAAGTGTAGGTCTTTGTCAGAATTATCTCGCTGGAAAGCCACTGAATTCCGGACATTCTTACTTTATTTGGGGCCTATTGTTTTAAAGAACATAGTTGATATTGCCATCTATGAACATTTTTTGTTATTTCATTGTGCAATTAGCATATTAATTTGTGAAAAGCGATTGTTTGAATTTGGTATAAATTTTGCAGAAACGTTACTAAAAACGTTTGTGGAACATTCTCCCTCAATATATCGTCACCCTAATTTAAAAAAGTTGTATGTTAAAAAAAACGAAAAATGTAAGTCTATGTTTCTACAGGATTATACGTGGCCTACTCTTCACATACCACTTAAAAATAATTCTATAGAAGGTATATTCTATGTATACATATATATAGAGTTAAGTTGTATGTCAAGGGTGGATTACATAAAACCTTGTAGAAGCATAAACTCAAATTTTTCGATTTTTTAACATACAACCTTGTTGTCCACTACTTATGCCATCTAGCAAATGATGTCCGTTTATACGGAGTACTTGATAATTTTTCCGCGTTTGGTTTTGAAAATTTTTTAGGTCAAATAAAACGTTTACTAAATTCACCTACAAATCCATTAGCACAGATATACAATCGTTTAACAGAGGCTGAAAAGAACACTGTCGACGACTTACCAAAAGACAATGTGCAATTCAAACGGGAGCACACCTTCGGACCTGTACCCAGTTTCTTAAATAATTATAAACAGTATAATGTATGGCATCTTAAAGATTTTGTTCTGACAACTAGGTCACATTCGAAATCAAACTGTTACTGCTTAATTGAAAACGATATTGTACAAATTCAAAACATTGTTTTTACTTCTAAACTAAAAATTGTTTTAATAGGTAAAGCATTTTTTCCAAGACCTCATTATACAAGTATCCATTTAATTCATCTAATTTAGGCATATACATTGTTTCCAATCTATCAGAAGACTTCGACATGTGGCCAATTGAAAATCCAGACGTAATTGCCAAATGTATGCTGTTTAAAATCAGTAATGAGCAATGGGCATTAATGCCAATTGTTCATTCCCTAAAGTAGATTCTTTATTTTTGTTACCCGCGTTGTTGTTGTAATGTATTGTTGTATTTATAAGGACGTTTTTAATGCAATATTTTTATTCTCTAGGCATAGATTTTTGTTACCTCTAGGTAATATTTTGCAAAATGCAACTTGTTTATATATATATATGTGTAGGTATATATATATATATATATTGATGAGCATGCAGTGGGCATAAATGCCAATTGTTCATTCCCTAAAGTAGATATTTTATTTTTGTTATTGAGATAGATATTCTTTTATTGAACTTACTGTCCTTTATAAGGACATTTTTTAAGCCAATATTTTTATTTTGTTACTTCTAGGTTTTGTTACTTCTAGGTAATTTTTTGCAAACTTCAACTTAAGTTGCAGTTTGCAAAAAATTATTGAAAACAATTGTTTTTAATAAATATATATGTATTGGCTGTGTTTTTTTTTTATTTCAACCTTTATTCGGAGGTTAATATTCTACATTAACTAAACGTGGTATGTACTTTCGTCTACACCGAAAAGGCCCACTATATCATTTTAATGAGAAACGCAGTGTTTTGATGACAACGCATTAAGGTTAGGTATCTGCCAAAGTATGGTTAACAATACAAATTTTTAAGTAAAATTACATGACAGTTAAACGTAAAGCAGTATATATATAAATTCATTTATAAACTTTATAATATTTCCTTTGTACTATACTTTGACAGATATCCAACGTTATTTACGGTTTGTTCTATGGGTTAAGCATTAATGTATTGTCATCATAAAACTGCGTTTCTCATTGAAATGTCAAAGTGTGCCTTTTTGTTGTGGACGATGTTACGTGATTTCGCACGTGATTTTAACGTCTCTAAAAGACGTCCTAGAAATGTGACATTTCAACGGATTTTACACGTGATATTTACGTTTTTTAATCACGTCTTTTTGGCACGTGATTTTAACGTCTCTAAAAGACGTCCTAGAAATGTGACATTTCAACGGATTTTACACGTGATATTTACGTTTTTTAATCACGTCTTTTGGGCGAAATTTGACGAAACCTCAACGTGTTTTAAACGTGACTCTGTTTGCTGGGATACCCACAATAAACTATTTCTATGCAATAAACTGTGTTTCACTGAGTGACACTCACTACACAGAAGTTATATGACAGAACATAAGCTCACTACAAAGAAGGTAACTGTAAATAAAGTTACTGTTACATTTTGTGACCATAAGAAAAAATTCTATACCGTTGAGTTGCACGCCCTGGATAAAATATTGGCGGAAAATTTAAAAAGAACACAAAAAAATAAAATAAGTAAATATACGTAAAAATAGATAACAAATATGTAAAAATAAACTGACAAAATAAAAAATATGTAACAAAAGTATAAAAAAGGTAGTTTAAAGCAAAAACCTCCAAAAAAGGTAAAAAAAGGTGAAAACAAGTTAGGTTCATAAAAAAGAAAATCTTTTAAAACACATTTTGGCATTATTGGTTTTCAAATAGTTACATCGGTTGAAAAAAGGTAAAATAACTTAAATCCCATCCCTAGTTATCACTATAATTTTAATAATTTGCTATGCTCAATGCGTGTACTGCTCAAATGTAACATTGTAGTTTGTTTTGTGCTTAACCCAACATTTTGTACCTATTCTATAACGTGATTAAGCATTGTTTTATGATCAGTCTAAATTTATTGATGCATTGCGAAATTACTCGGTGCTTAAACAGGAGTTCTGACCGTTATTGTTAAACTTTGAGTACTCTTTGTTTGTGTGCGTGGAAATTTGTTGTATGAATTAATATTATTCTCCCGTAAGGGGAACAGGTTGTTCTAGGTTCTCTAGGGCTGCATGGCTTTTCCCCGACCCTTCAAATAAAATAGGCGAGTTGCCTCCCTTGTGGACCTCGTTACACCCTGGGCTTAGCCCGGTTAACTAACACCAATATTCTTCAGTTTTAAATTTTTGTTAAATGCATTATCGAGCCATATCGCCAATAAATTAATTTGCGTAAATTTTCAAGTACAATGCCTAAGAGAGAGAAATCTTCACAATAGTTTTAAAGGTAACGGTAGAGGCAGCGGGAGAGGTAGCGGTAGAGGTAGCGGTAGCCGAGTTTGGCATTGAATATTATATGAAATATTGTATAGTTGTCAGAGGTAGCGGTAAGGGAGGTAGAGGCAAGAACGTAGCGGCAAGAGATGACCATCTTTCATCTTTTCTTACCTCAACCGCTACTCCAGCCAATCACACGGCAGTTTTCAGTTGGCAGTCTCGCCTTGTCAGTTCGTGTGTATTAAGAACAGCCCTTTATCAGTTAGTTTAATTTTTTTTAAATACTGAAAATGGCTTTTCTTAGCTTGTTCCTGATTTATTTTCCTCGTTTTATAGCGACGTACTTGACTACCCCCATAACGGACTTAAAACCCTGCAATACAACATATGTTGTGTAATGATACACATTACGACATCTATGAGACGATTTCCTAACTACCCGACGTCAAGGAAAGAGTTGGACTACCAGAAACCTGCAGTTAGACGAAACTCTAACAGATGGCGCTTGGACAGCTGTCAACCGCCTATAGGTTGTCAACAATTGTTGCACACGGCCCGTGTAAAGGATTTATTGCACGCGGCCCCAATTGTTTTTCATCAAGTCTGTCATCAGAATTTCGTCTATAAAACCGCTGCATTTTTCAATGGACAATCAGTCGTCTGGTGGCTCAGTTCCAAATGGTGTAATCAATTGTGAGCCCGAAAACCAACCACTAAATCACAGAGAACTCTCAGTGGAATATTAACAGTAAGTTAACCTGTTTTTAATATTAAAGGGCTTTAAGCCGTATAATATTAAACTTTAATAGCAGAGTTAATGAAACTGTAAATCCTGTATGCATATAACATAACCTAACAACATGTATTTTTCCACTAGAGTCCAATTGAAAATCTGCCCTGTCTCTCTGTAGGACTGAAAACTACGCCCGTGCCTGCCAGTTGCCTGTGAAAAGCCCTGGAACATTTGCCTGTCCTGATTAAAGGCTATGCAAGAACCCTTGTGTGCAAAGTCTACGATACTTTTGTAAATACTGTAAATACTGTATATAATTCTAATATAATTTTGTACATACTTTTACCTTGGTAAATAAACCAGTTTAAGTTACTTTTTGCATTTTAAATTAAACCACCAACCCTAACTGATTCTTATAAACCCTACTTTCTCCACTGAATAAAAGCAACCCGAGGTAGGTATTCCTCTATATCTGAAGAGTCAACCGGAGAGGAACCTTGGTGAAGTACTTAAGGCCATAACCAGCCTAGGTACGACACAGTTGTATTGCAGGGTTTTTTTATATAATATTCCACACAACGCCATATGGCCCAGAAGCACAGCATTGTCCTTCCAACCCATGTTGAAACACGCCAAAATAATCCAGGAAAACTTAACCATTTGGTATAAAATTTTACAAACAAAATTACAATCTGCGTACTTTACGCATGCGCCGCCAGTACCGCTACTGCTACTTTCTGAACTATAAATTGCAGAAAGTGATACCGCTACCGCTACCTCTACCGCTACCTCTACCGTTACCCTTAGAACTATAAATCCAGCTTTAGACTTGAAAATGTAAGCATTTAAATGAAAAATTAAAGTAACACAAAGGACTAGAGAACCGAACAACGTCTGCCAACAAAAAGTTCACATCAGTAAACATCATATGAACAAAATAATAATACAGTCAATACGTCACCCTAATATAACAAGGTTGTATGTTAAAAAACCAAAAAAATTGAGTTTATGCTTCTACAAGGTTTCATTTTATCCACCCTTGACATACAACTTGAAAATAACTCTATATATATGTATTAGGGTGTCCCAAAAAAAAAGAATATTTTTTTTCTTCTCTTCTCTTGTGAAAATATGTTGGTTTGTCATGTTTTAAGACCCCTGTCAAAAGATCAGCACCATTAAAAAATTTTTAGGGGTCGCTCAAGATATTTAAAAAAATACCAAAATCGTCAAAAATTGGATTTTTTTTCTCGTTCCGATATTATTTTTTAATTTAAAAATAATAATGATTCTGAAAATTTCAAATCGATATTTTAATTTCTAAAGGTCGCTCAGGATTTTTTTAACTTTCAAAGTAGAGTATTTTGAATGTTTTCAAGCGACCTCTGAATATAAATATCAACGAACTTTTAGCGAACTTTAGAAATCAAAATATTGATTTGAAATTTACAGAATTTTTATTATTTTCAACCTAAAAAATAATATCGAGACGAGAAAAAGAATTAAAATAAAACAAAAATTCAATTTTTGACGATTTTGAAATTTTTTAAAAATCTTGAGCGACCCCTACAAAATTTTTAATCGAGCTGATATTTTGAAAGGGCTCTTACAGCATGATAAACTAACATATTTCTACAAGAGACAAGAAAAAAAAATATATTCTTTTTTTTTGGGACACCCTAATATGTATACATAAAATATACATTCTATAGAATTATTTTTAAGTGATATGTGAAGCGTAGGCCACGTATAATAATCAATCGTGCCATCGAATAACTGTAAATTATTAGTATTTAATTATTGCAAAATAAATTAAATATCAAACCTAGTAAGTACAGCTTTCTATTGCATAATCTTAACTATTAACTTTATTTGCAGATAATCTAAGAATAATCCATTAAGTGTCGTTGCAAGGTAAAAATGTTTAAACAATAGTATATTATGTATCAAGTTTTATAAACGCCATTTTAGTTACGAGTTTTATTAAGCACGAGCAAAGCTTGCAAGCGAGTGTTTAATAAAAACGAGTGTCTAGATAAGTTTATAAAACGAGTTGCATACTATACTTTATCTACGACGACCACAAAGAAGAATTTAAATCCAACTTTATTTGTTAACCATTTGACATATGTCAAATGTCAACGGAATTAACCTCACTTTTCTCTAATTTATAATAAAGCTAACTTCAGCCCGTGACTAAAATGCCCAAAAGCCACTGTTGCTAACT